CCATCTGTAACTACAATCCCAAAGGATTCTACATCTTCTGGCCTCCACAGGCATTGCACATACATGGTACAGACATAAATGCAGACAAAACACCCATACAAAATAAAAATAAATCTTAAAAAAAAGTCAGGGTTTTATTGCTATGAAGAGACACCATGACCACGGCAAGTCTTACAAAGGAAAGCATTTCGTCGGGGCTGGTTTACAGTTCAGAGGTTCAGTCCATTGTCATCACATGGGAACATGGAGGCACACAGAGAGACATGGTGCTGGAGAAGGAGCTGAGAGTTGTAGATCTGGATCAATGGGCAGCAGAGAGAGTGACACTGAGAGTGGCTTGGGCTTCTGAAACTCCAAAGCCCACCTCCAGTTACACGCTTCCTCCCAAGGCCACACCTCCTAATAGTGCCACTCCCTATGGCCTATGGGGGCCATTTCTATTCAAATCACCACAAAACACAAAAATTCTCAGATAAACCAATCAAACATTAATAAAGCTTTTATAATGAGATAAAAATAGCATTAGTCACTGACAAGTCTTGATTTTCTTGTTGTTGTTGTTGTTTTTCGAGATAGTTTCTCTGTATTGCTTTGGAAGCTGTCCTGGAACTCTCTCTGTAGACTAGGATGCCTCGAACTCACAGAGATCTGCCTGCCTCTGCCTCCCAAGTGCTGGGATTAAAGGCATGCGCCACCAACACCAGGCATGATTTTTTTAGTATAACTGGAGTATCTCTTAATGAAATATTTAAGATCTGAATAGTTTTGTGTTTTGGAATACTTGCATATACAAGAGATTCGGGGGAAACAAGACTCAAGTCTAAATGTGACATTCATTTGTAACCTGAAGGTAACTTCATATAATATTTTAAACAATGTTATGCATAAAATAAAAGTATCACGGAGTGAAATTTTCCAGATGAGGTATTTGGTGGTACTCAAAGGCTTGGATTTTTTTGGGTTTTATTTGAGACAAGGTTTCTCTGTATAATAGCTCTTGATGTCCTGGAACTTGTTCTGTAGACCAGGATGGAAGGTCTTCTTTTTGAGACAGGGTCTAGCCCAGGCTGTCCTGGAACTCACAATCCTCTTACATCACCCTGAGTGCTGTAATTTTCAAGGTAATTTTACCTTCAGGTCTGGACCATCACACCCAGATAATTTTTTTAATTGCATGTATGCCCTCTGTGGGAAGTGGGGTGGTATGTACCTGTCTACAGGTACCCTTGGGGGCCAGAGCCCTCTGGAGCTGGGGTTACAGGCTGCTACACTCCATCTAGCATAGGTTCTTGTAGGGAGAGATTTTAGATACCTGTGCCACTGACCACGCCTGCTTTGGGCATGGCTAGAGGCACATATGGTGTGGGAATTAAAGGCTGTGCAGGAGAGAAGCACGCTCTTTTTCCGGCTTCCGGTCCCGTCTGGGAAAGCTGCTGACTCACCTAGGTTGCCAGTTTCTCTTGTAAGTACCTTCCCCAATAAATAGTTACCTATACCCTCATCAAGCATGCAATTTATTTTACAGCGGCACAGGTAACTAAAAATCTCTCCCTACAGGTTCTGGGAACTGAACTTGGGTCCTCTAGCAGAACAGGATATGCTCTTAACAGATGAGCCATCTCTCCAACCCTACCACACCTGAATCTAGTGGAGCATTTAATATTTTGGATTTTCAGATCAGGGATGTTCAACCTGTAATGGGAGAAGACATGATAGAAACAGAACACTGTAAAGTTCTTAAAATTCTTCCTAGGAACTATTTTATATTTTAAAACACTATGTGGTAGTAGGTATTCTTTTTTATTTTTATTTTACTTTTTGGTTTTTGAGACAGGGTTTCTCGAGACAGGGTTTCTCTGTGGCTTTGGAGGCTGTCCTGGAACTTGCTTGGTAGTCCAGGCTGGTCTCGAACTCACAGAGATCCGCCTGCCTCTGCCTCCCGAGTGCTGGGATTAAAGGCGTGCGCCACCAATGCCCGGCTGGTAGTAGGTATTCTTAAACTCAAGTAATCTCTAGTTTTTGCCCAGCTGAACTTTGTACTCCATGAGGCCTTTACTTTAGTGATACTAACACAATGACAACACCAGGCCCTAATGTCTTCCTTTATCCTTGAGCATCTCGAATCTGGTATTGAGGGGCCCTTGCACTGGTTTTCCATTCATCTTCTTTGGCTTTGGTTTGTTGAGATGCCTTGGCTTGACTGAGCAGGATCCTTCCTTCATATCAACTTCTCTGCTTTCTTTCCTTGTTTTTGGAGGCTTACATGCTTCAAGCATATTTCTAGGACAGAAATAACCAGAAGGTCCCCTGCTTCCACAGCCCCTAACTGATAGTCAAAGTAGTTTCACCCTCAGATGAACTCAGGGACCGCTCTACTGTTGATAGTGATGCTTACCTTCATCACTCCATCAAATAACTGCTTGTTTATTGTTCTGGTGTAATAAAATAAATGCAATCCCTTCACAGTTCTTAGCATCTGTCTTTCAACATGGTGACCTTTGCAATTTACTGCACTTGGAAAATAACCAGTAAGCTTTTGTTGGCTGAATGGGCAACTTGGATGCATACACTGTGCCATTACTAGAAACCAAGTCACTACTGGTTTCTTCACATGGGGTAGGACTGGGACACCAGAAGAGAGTCTCAAGCTGGGTTCTTCCTTGCCTCTCACAACATCCCTGGCATCACAGGTAAGGCCCAGAGTCAGGTCATGGTACCAGCATCAAAGATACATTTTGATAGGCTGGTAAAGATACATTTTCAAGCAGGGACTGGCAAGATGGCTCTGTGAGTAAAGGCACTTGCCACTGAGCCTGGTGAGCTAGGCTTGGCCCCTGGGGCCACACGGCAGAAGGTGAGAGGACTCCCACAGGTTGTCCTGTGACCTCTCCATGTGCTGTGGCATGCGCACATGCACACACACGTAATTTTGATTTTTTTAAAATTCCAAACAGTAACACTTATAAATGAAGAAAAAAGGCCTCGGAATAGTTCATGCTGAGAACAAAGTGAAGACTTATGCACACTGGAGTATTAGCCGTCGGCAGCAATAATGCAGAAGAGGGTACTGGAAACTGCCCCCGTATGTGGCAAATGAGGAAAGCTGGTTACAAAGCTGGTGGAAAGAGGGGAAACGTGTGCTCCCATAGGGAGAAGTGCAGAGAAAGTCATACCAAGATGCAAAAGCCACTGAACGTGGGAATCCGGGTAATCAATTTTTTTCTCTGATTTTCCTACTGTGACATCAAATATTATCTGCCCATTTTTTTAAAAAATTGGTAAAATCAAACAATTGAATCTTCTCCATCTTCACACCACAGCCTCTGGCCCACACATTTATGACCTCTCAGTCATGAGGACAAATTCTCTACAAGTCAGATGTGGCAGCATAGATCTGTAATCCCAGCAGACTTGCACCTCACATCTGGCTTCAACGGAGCATTTTCGGTTTTTAGATTTGGACTGTTTAACATGTGCGGCACCAAGGCAAGACACAAAGTAGACACTTTAACCCCAACTTTAGTCACCAAATTCCTCATCGCTGAAATATGTGCTCCCCCAAACTCTCTGTAACTTATTTTTCTCATTTGCCAATCCAGTGTAAATAAACCCTAAGTCTGGTATTTTCTGGGTTGTTTTTGTTGTGCTTAATTACTACAATTATTCATTGGGAGGCTGAGGCAGGACAGTCACAAGTTCAGGGCCAGGCCTAGCTAAATAAATAGCAAGACTTACGTCTCAACACCCTCAACACACCACAAATTGCAATTAAACTCTCATTACTATAAGGAAAACTAAAAACAGAATCAAACTATTTTCTTACAGCAATTTGTATTTGTGGGAAAACCAGATAATCAACAGGGTCTTTTGATAACAAGAAAGCAGAAAACTAATTTTTTTCTGATGGGCAGCAAGAGAAATTGATGCATATAATTTCAAATCCAAATCCAGGCTTTCCCATATGCAATGAAAATGATTCTGAGAAAATTATTTCTTATATTTCTACCTGTGAAATGAGAGAAATAGTTCTGATCCTCATTGCAGACACAGCAGTTAGCAGCACAAAGAACAATGCTTGCATAATTAGCTGTTGAATGAAAACTATCAGTACATAGTCACGAGCACAGATTCTAAAACTTCAAAGGAACATAAAAATCAGGGTCTTTCTTTCTTTCTTTTTTGAGAAAGGGTCTTTTTCTATTACATAGCTCTGGCTGTGCTGTAGACCAGGCTGGCATTGAACTGACCTCAGAGTTCTATTTGAGAACACCATTGAATTTGAGTCTTACTATCAGGGGGGAAATAAAGGGAAATTAGCAGAGATTATCCAGAAGAGATGCAGACACAGTGTAAGGAAAGTGGGTGAGGGGCGGACTAAAGCAGGGATTGGGGTCAAGCAGGCTTCTCCTGACAGTAAAGTCACTCACTTCACAAGCCCCAGTTCATAAGAAGGTGAGTGCGCCATCCTTCCTGGACACCCCTACTTTCGTTCCCAATCTTTTCAATAAAGGTGACACTGTCATATCCCAGGTTGAAGCAACAAGGAAAGGGAGCTTTGGAGAAATTCTGAGGAAGGCTCTCAACAGTTCGGGATCTTTCTGCAGTTATCTACTCTCCACATCCTAGCCTCCCTTCCAATCAGCCTCCCGCGGGTCGCGTGAGGTGCACCCGGGGCCCTCTGAGTGACAGTCACCCCGTAAGGTCAGTCGCACACTGTCGATGGCGGCCGCGCCACGCGATCCAAGGGCTGACCCGCTCTTCACACGTCCCTCGTTCAAGCCTGTCTGAGGACGCCCGCCCTGCGCACGCGCGTGCGCCCAAGGCTCCCGGGCTGCCCGCGCACGCCCTCAAATGTCAAGGGCGTTGGACGGCTCAGAGGAACGCGCCCGGAAAGGGCGGGAAAGTCCTGGATTCGCGGAGGGCTTTCCAGCAGGCAAGTGTACTCCTGAGCATTCTCCTCCCTCCTCGACAGCAGCCTAGAAGTATCTCCATTCAGGCACCTTTCGCCACGAGGGATGGCGGCCCCACGGCGGTCCACTGTATGGCTCTGATTCACCGCCATCTTGGTCTCCTCCCGCCGCCGCCTGCCCTTCAAATGGGAGGGGCGGGGACTACAAAGCAGGGGGCGGGGCCCTGAGGACAGGGCGGAGATTATGGCGCAGAAACCTGGAGTTGAGTGGGCAGCTGTCATAAGAGAAACTGGTGGTCAGGGGTGAGAGAGCCCTAAGAGGCATGTCCCTGGGTCTGGCTCCACCCCTACAGCCGGGAGAGTGAAGGATGAGTGCATCTTGTAGACCTACAGCCAGGCCCCCTAGGTCCTCCCAGGAAATGGGATTTTTTTTTTTTTTTTTTGGTTTTTACGAGACAGGGTTTCTCTGTATTGTTTCGGAGGCTATCGATCCAGCCTGGCCTCGAATGCACAGAGATCCGCCTGCCTCTGCCTCCCGAGTGCTGGGATTAAAGGCGTGCGCCACCACTGCCCGGCTGGGATTTTTTTATTTAAAAAAAAAAAAAAACAGCCATTAGCCCACAATCTCAGCCCAGATTACCCCAAGCCAACCCAGATCAAGGGTCTACGTCCGTCTACTCTTTTAAGACCAGCGCTTTTTCCCATCAAAGAAGGCCGAGGATCAGAACCCATGGTCTTGTGAGAGAATATCCAGAAACGGTGAGCTAAGTCAGGAAGTGGACCGTGAAATTCAACCTTCACCGGGTCCAATTCCGGGATCCACTGAGCCTTTTTAGGTGTCACACTCATTGTATTACTCAAGACACTCTAGAGTATTAATGTGCCAGTGAAGAAACAAAAATTGATTGCCAAATAATCAGATGTGCCTTTGTAAGACATGTCCTGATTTCCGTTTTTTTTTTTTCTTTCGTTGTCTTTTAAGACGGGGTTTCTCTTTGTAGCTCTGACTGTCCTGAAACGCACTCTATAGATGAGGCTGGCCTCAAACTCACAGAGGTCCTCCTGCCTCTGCCTCCAAGTGCTGGGTTTAAAGGCGTGCACCACCACACCAAGCACAGATTTTTTTTCATGTACAAGATTTACTAGAATTAAAAATTAAATTCGGTAGGGATAGTATACAGCAGTAGAAAAACATCAAGATCCAGCCAGCCTCTCCTGCCATGGCCGATGCAACCTTAAATGAGAAGACTGAGTTCCCTGGACTCTGCCTCCGGAGTGTGTGTGGTGGTGTTGAGTCAGAAGAGAGCTCGGGTTTCTCGTGGCTCTGACAGTTGATGTCCACCAAACAGCCGCCCTTCAAATCCCACTTCCCCTCATCTGTGTTGGGTTCCCACCCGTTGCTGTCTTCGATATTTTACCTGCATGAGTCTCGTGACTCATCCTCTTCCATCCTGGCCCCCTCCAGACTGCTTCTCCTCATTCATTTATACCTTGTGTTCACCTCACATAAAGTCAAGGTCCCAAACGATTGCTTAAAGTTCACATTAAAAACAGGGCGGGCGTCGGTGGCACTCGGGAAACAGAGGCAGGAAAAAAATCTCTGTGAGTTCAAGGCCAGCCTGGTCTACAAGAGCTAGTTCCAGGGCAAGCCTCCACAGTCACGGAGAAACCCTGCCTCAAAAAGCCAAAAAAAAAAAAAAAAATTAGGGAAATAACCCGACAAAAATGCTATTGTTTAATAAGCTATACGTGGGGATAAAGGTCGTCTAAACTTAAGAAAAGGGGCCAGTGTACAAGTAGTTTATGTGCACATGTGTGTTTAGCTGTGCAAGCCTGTATGCAATTGAAGAGGCCAGAAGACAGTGCCCTATCATTCTTCTCTATTTCTTCAAGAAAGAATGTCTCACTGAATCTGGAAGCAAGCCCCAGGTAAGCATGGGGCCATACCTGTGGTTTTTCATGTGGGTGTTAGAAGTCTCAGTTCAGGTCTTCATGCTTGTACAACCATCACTCTTACTAGCCGACCCATCTCCCATGTTCCTTTTGAACTGTGTGTGTGTGTGTGTGTGTGTGTGTGTGTGTGTGTGTGTGTGTGCATGCACACATGGAAGTCAGAGGACAACTTATGGAAGTTAATTCTCTGCTTCTATCATGTAGAATCCGGGGATCAAACTCAGGTTGTCAACCTTGACAGCAAGTGCCCTTCCCAGCTGAGCCATCTCGCTGGGTCCTCTATATTTTTAGTATGTTCATAGTAAAATGTTTTCTAGGCGAGACTAGGCTTTCATTGGTCCTTATGCCTTCAGAGGAAAAAAAGAGGGGGTGCTAAGAAGTAAATGGGACTAAATACTTCTGGGGAAAACACCCTGTGGGATCAAGTGCCAGCTCTCCCAGTCACTGGGGTTACAAAGTTCCAGGAAATGACTGGGCTATGACCTCATGTCACCTGAAAATGAATAGATCTCACATGTTCGGTTTCTAATATCTGAGGCTACTTCTTGCCAAGAGGGTCCCTAGCTCACACACGGGTGAGATGATGTCATGCAAGGCTGATTTGATGGAAGAGCAAGGAACACAAATAACGCAAAGACCAGGCCATTATTTTCAAACAGCATTGTTTAGTTGTACAACACAGAGGCTAGCAACATTTACATGACCAGTCTGAGTGTCTGTTGGCTTGCTTTCAGTTGGGAAGTTAAACTGGAGTATCACCAAAACATTGGCTGGGACTACTAACATTTTAAAAATGGGTCACTCCTGCATCCCCTAGGCTTGGCCTCTTGTTCCGTCAGGACTTGTAGACAAGTGGCCCACAAGTCACCAGCTTTTGAGCAAGTTGCATCCAGGTGGGGATAGCAGGTGAGGTGGCCAAGGGAGGGTTCTATAAAGACACAGTGTGTGGGGCAGCAGCAGCTGACACTCGCAAACATTCATGCACCTGCTGGGGCTTTGCCCTCCACTGAGGATTTTCCACTAGCCTATAGCGACCACCTGTGGTCAGGATAGTTCACTGCTCACATTAACAGGGTAGGGGATGGGAATAGGAATGGTCAGGGTATGTGGAAAGAGATCCCTCTTATTGCTAAATGTACAAAAGGGTGCTATTTTTCTTCCTAGAGTATATAACTTATGGGTTTGGGTGGTTCATGTGTGTGTTTAACTCACTTTTTTTAAGGGGGGGCTAAGGAAATCAAACTCAGCAACCTCTTTTCAGGAAAATCACTTCCCAAATGACCATATTTTAGGGGTAAACAGGTTGTCTCCATGCACCAGGCCAGCCACCAGTGATGATTTTTTTAAGTGACACTAGCCCCCTTGCTCCCCAACATCTGTAATGACTCACCCTTATAAATACCTTTAAGCAATCAATGAAGGAAGACACCCTTGTCCCACATGGGGGCTCACACAGCTGACCTCAGTGACTCTAACAAGCAGAAAATTGCTTTCTTGACGGTTTAAGGGAGCCAAGAGAGTACTCATGCAGATGAATGGCTAGGGAGCCATGCCGGTTCCCTTGGAGATGATTACAAGTCGCTGGTACGGGCTTGCAAGGGCAGGAGAAGCTCTCGGTGAGTTCCTTCTCCCTACACATAGGCTGGGGCTGCTGACAGACGATGGAGCAGGGCAAGGCTGGCTGGCTGGCTGGCAGGAGCTCCATTCCATTAGGAGGAGAGGAGCAGTCTGGCTAAAGGGAGGAAGCTACTGTCCTAGAGGCGGTTGGCCCCTCCCACCTGCTAAGGAGGGCTGAGAGGGGCTGTGGTGGTGGGCTGGACAAGCATGGCATTAAGAGGGGCGTGGCCCTGCAGCAATAACAGCTGGGAGGCATGAGGGAGGGAGAAGCCGCGCTTGAAATGGACTTCATTCAGCAGTGGGGCAGGGGGTAGCTGGCGCGGGTGGAAGGACAGTGCCCAGGAGGCCTTCTCCCTGCAAGGGGAGTTAAGAGCGGGTGAGGGTGTGGAGACCAGCAGCTCACAGCAGACACACAAAACAGCTTCTCCGGGGAGAGCGAGACCACAGCTTAGGGGGTCAGGCACCATTCTCCTACTTGGCCTAACCAATGACCACCATCCTTATCCCCTGCTGGCCCTAGGTGCTCAGTTCCGTGTCACCACCATACAGGACAGCTCCCCAGAGTAATCAGGGAGCTCTATGACACTGCTAACACTCTGGCCTGACAGATGCCTACTCTGGAGTAACTTTATGGGGGGATGGGGATAAGGAATGAGGGCTAGACTGGTAGGGCAGTCTCCAGGAAAGACTAAGACCATGGATTTGGGGTTACGTGATTTGATCATTCCCTCCTCTTTCACTTGGCCCACTGAATTGTGGGTCTTCCCTCTCTTCTGTTTTTCCTAGCACCTGAGTGAGATAAAAGACTGGGATTATAAATGCTGGCCTTCAGTGAGGGCCAGTTAAATGCCCAGGCTGGACCAGGAGATGGATAGTGGATAAGATCAATTGTAAACAGAATCCCTTGGTCTTTTCCATTTCCTAAGGCTAAACTGTTTTCCTTAAAGCAGCCTTAGAAACTACATGAAGAAGAATAACTTGTGTGTACAAGGAGCAGTGGACGTGTGCATTAATAACTACAGGGCTCCTGAAAAAGGTGAGAGAAGGCTAAATGTATGCTTATGGGTGTATGCTCCTCGGAACATCTGCAGGATTGGAAGGTGGGAGAATGGAGTGGGGGGAGGGGAGCTGGGAAAGGCAGACAAATGAGGACAGAGAAAGAATGATTGGGGTTCACATGAGGCAAAGCCACAGAAAAGCCGGCTTAACGCAGAAAGATGACTCTAGAGAAAGGGAAATGTGTCCTAGAATTTGTCTCCAAAGCCCAGCCCCCTAAGAAATTCCACATGTTGCTTCTGATACTTCAGAATTAGTTCACAAATGTAATGTCCTCCACCAAAAGCTGCCTCACTTGACCGGTATGTGTGCTTCCTTGAACAGAGCACTGGGGGCAGCCCAAGGAACCAACTTCCCCTATTTGCCTAGGGGCTTACTCCCAAATTCAGGGCAAATTTCAGTGCTCAGCCACAGAAACTGGCTTTTCTATTCCCTATAGCTGATTTCTCTTGCAATCTCAGTGTACAATGTCCCATCGACTTGTGATTTTATTTTTAATATGTATTTATTTTGATCTTATGCATAGGAGAGCTTGTCTCCATGTATGTACGTATGTATGTATGTATGCATGTATACACAGTGCTCGTGGAAGCTAAAAGAGGCTGTCAGATCCTCTGGAACTGGAGTCGCAAATAGCTGTAAGCTGCCCAGTAGGTGCTAGGAACCGAACCTGTCCTCTGCAAGAGTGGGAGTTGCTCTTAAGCACAGAGGCATCTCTTCAGCCCCTAGTTGTAACTTTATTTTAGGGCAGCAGAAAGACAATTTAAGAAGTAGGCTGGGCATGATTTCTAAATATAGAAATGAAGCTAACATAAGGAGCTAAGAAGGAAACAAAAGGTCAGAGACAGACAGGATGGAAAATGTCTGAATATATGGAGAGAGAAAGCAAAGGATGTTGTGGGGAGAGAAAGCAGGAAGAGGAGACAACCAGCCAGTCTGGAACTATGGGCAGAGGGAGCACAGAGAGTGGTGGCCTGTAGCGGTGATGGCAGTACTCGATGGTGACCCTGACATGGACCCAAGGGTAGAGCTCCATTTCCAGGCACTAATTCTGCAGGGACCCCCTCAGCGCTCTTCTCTGCTTCCCATGACCTTTCTTTGCACTTTTCCAAGAAGTCCTAGCCTTACCCCAGGCCACTTCAACCCACAGTGAAGGCTGCTCCGAACCCCCACACCCCACCCTGGGCTAGCTCAGCCACCTGTCCGTGAAGAAGACTTGCAGCCCCAGTTTGTGGATGGGTCAGAAGTAAGAACGAGTTGCCTGTGGCTCACCTGCTCCCAGCATTTTAAAATAAAACCTTCCCCAGACCTCTTGAGTGAGGTGCACAGCTTTTTGTTCTGGAGCACAAGAAAAAAGGAGACAGAATGGATAGTCATGGAGAAAGCAGACTAACAAAGAACTTTCCAGAGAGGGCAATGAAAATACCTCACCCCTGAGCGCTCTCTCTCTCTCTCTCTCTCTCTCTCTCTCTCTCTCTCTCTCTCTCTCTCTCTCTCTCTCTCTCTCTCTGCACACACACACACACACACACACACACACACACACACACACACACACACTATAGACAAGATATTCCACAAACACCAGACAGGCCTGCAGGACAGAGTTGAAAGGAAAAGGTGGCTGGAGGTGGTGCTTGGTGGTGCTTGGGATGTGTGTGTCTGGAGAAGTGGGATATGCGTGACAGATAACACAGAGAAGGGGGTCATCATGGGTTACTGTCGTGGCTTTCCTCTGTGTCCACGCTCACCGGAGGGAGGCCTCCATTGTCATTGAGCCTCTTGGCCCTGTAAGTCTCATAGTGGATGTTGTGAGTTACTTCTTTGAGGTCCTGGAGATGAGTCCTGAAGGACACAGTAAAAAAGAGGAGGGGATACAATTAAGGGTCGGAAGAGGGGGAAGTGATCCACTTCCTAGGCTAACGCATCTCTTTAGTAGAACAGACCCGATGGCTGGGACCCACTCCTGAGAGCCAATGACATTTCTTCAGCCCTTCCTCCTTTGGGACGGGGCCAGAAAGTCAGGAAGTGAATCTGAGTTGATGGCCCTCAATCCCAAATAATTAAACCTGCCACCTGGGGAGGGAGAGACCATCTTACCTGATGACGAAGTCTCGAAGCAGGGCAAACTCACAGTGGTTGAGGTTTTCCACTACAGACAAAACAGAAGAAAATGGATGGCCGTTTCACTCGTGTATAGCCCAGAAAGCAGGCAACGTTAAAGAGAGCATGAGGTGCCAGGTGGCAGTGGTGGCGCACGCCTTTAATCCCAGCACTCAGGAGGCAGAGGCAGGCGGATCTCTGTGAGTTCAAGGCCAGCCTGGTCTACAAAATTCTAGAACAACCAGAGTTACACAAAGAAACCCTATCTTGAAAAACCAAAAAGGAGGGAGAGGGAGAGAGAGAGAGAGGCAGAGAGACAGAGAGAGACAGAGACAGACAGAGAGAAAGAGAGACAGAGACAGACACAGAGAGAGACAGAGACAGAGACATAGAAAGAGAGACAAGGCATGTTCTTTGGTGGCCCTGCCTGAGGTTTGTTCACTAGTCCCCTTCCTGTCTTTTTTTTTTTTTTTTTTTTTTTGGTTTTTCGAGACAGGGTTTCTCTGTAGCTTTGGAGGCTGTCCTAGAACTCACTTGGTAGACCAGGCTGGCCTCAAACTCACAGAGATCCGCCTGCCTCTGCCTCCCGAGTGCTGGGATTAAAGGCATGCGCCACCTGCCTTTTTTTTTTAACTGAACAAATACTTTTTAGTCAGGTATAATAGACACAATACTATTCTAGACACTGTAGAATTAATCTCAATATAGACTGGCTTTGTCCCAAATCTTACAAAAAATAATGTGGGAGTTTAGGGAACTTGTGAAGGACTAAGATGATTGAAAGAAAGTAAAACACACAGGACCTCATAACTGAACCAGCTCTCAAAGGTCACACTCTATACAATAAACCCAGTTAACAGAGATGGGGTGACTACTGTCTGCAAACCACACACCAAGAACTGTGGGAACAGAGGAGGATGTGGCATGACTCTGGTCTTACAATGTGTACATAACATCCTCATCAATATTGCTGATTCAAAGGTGCATAATGAGATAATGCTACCTTTAAATCCCAAGCCTCTGGGTGTGGTAAGCATGGTGGCCCACCACTGCAAGCTAACATTTGGGAGAAGGAGCAGAAGGATCATGGTTCAAGGCCAGCCATGGATACACAGTAAAAACCTGTCTCAAAAAAAAAAAAAAAAAAAAAAACACTAGCTAAGGATTTAGCTCAGTGATGAACACTTGTTTAGTACAGTGAGGCCCTGAGTTCTATTACCAGGACCACAAAAATTATTAACAATAAACAATTCAAGACAGTGGAGTAAGTCTCAGTTGGGGAATCAAAACATCCAAATTTGAAGTTCAAGTTTCACTAGCATGTGAAACTCTCTGGGCTTAGTCTGTAGCACAGCTGGGGCAGTGGGCGGGGACTGCCCTAACCTTTGCGAAGCGAAGCATTTTTCTTGTCTGAGATTGGTATTCTGAAGACGGGAGCATCAACCCTGCACTCCTTACCATGTGGAATAAGGGGTTGTTTGTTTTCTTAGTTTGGTTTTGTGTGTACTGTACAGGGGATCGAACCCAGGGCCTTGCACATGCTAAGCAAGCGCTCTATCACTGAGCTACTCCACAGCCCTGAATGAGACCCTTGAAGTGACTTCTTGAAAACTTTCAGAGTCACCACACCCCACCCAAGGTCATATCTATTCATAACAACCGGTAGACTAACAACGGCCCAACCACCCTTCGGCACTTTGTCAGGTCACATATGAAAGCCTTCTCCAGTTTTCTCCACCCTCAATAGTTTCTTCAGATTCTAAATGCATTTGACAGGCCAAGTCATTGCCACCCAGTCACATATTAAATGGTGTCATCGCCTCCTGCCCATGACTAGCATCCCAGACTGTAAGCTCCATATTACCAGCAGCAGCCCACTGGCATCAATATCCCTGGACAGCACTTTGACCTCCTGATGCTTAATAGCTGCTCTCCGGATAGCCACTTCTTCCACGAGATGTACTGAATTACCTTCGATGATCCCCCAGGGGGTTTTTCTGCCGAGGACCCTCTTGCCATTTACTTGGTACTCCTTGTCACTCCCCACCACAGCGAAGGGCATGCTCTCCTGCTGGATAGGGGACAAAGCACAAACCAGCACGCATGCTCAGTCCTCTCCTCCAAACTGAATGTCCAAGGACGGGACAGCCTTTCACAGCTTATTTTGTTGCTCATTCAATGATGCTCCTGGGGGTAAGGATAAGACTCTGCCCCTTGAAAAGGCTGAGCTGGGACTCAAGTCCTGGGCCCAACCCTGACTACACCGTTGTCTGACTGGATAGCCTCAGTAAGCCGGCTTCCCTTCAACTAGAGAGCACTTTGTACAATTTATTGTTCTTGAGCACATATTTTTGTTTGATTGGGAACAGCTCTGTGAGCTAGCTAGCACAAACTCTCACAAACAGCACCCCCCACCCAGGCGCCAGCCAGATTCCTAGATGTGTTATGTGGCTCCCATGGAACCTCCTGGCAGATGCCCAGCTACTGACTCTCAGGGCTCTAGGCTGCTCTGCTCTCTCAGGGGAAGCATTCAGGGTTATCTGCCTGGTGTGTGTTTGTCATTGTCATCAGATAAATGAGTCACGTGTTACTTACTGACAGGAGTAAGTTCCAAGAAGAGTTCGTAGGCAATTGTGCCACAGGGTGAACTCATAGCATAGAAGTAAGCAAACTAATAAGACAGCTACCATGTCACCAGGCAACAGGACAGCAGGGAAGCACTGTCTTACGTGACCCTTCACCGACCAAAATCTCTTCAAAAAAGGGAGTTTTCTAAGTGATAATCTTCAATTGCCTTTTTAAACTGAGTATCTGTCCAACTACGAGGGATAAAGGGCTTCTACTGTATTATTCAACTTTCTAGAAGAGACTAAAAGGATCTCAAAACCTAAATGAGAGATTTGTCACAGATTGGATCAGGGCAGTCAATGGGCCCAGGTTTCTGATGCAGAATCACAGAATTGTAGAAATTTTGAATTGAGGGCAGGACCTTAGAAGTCGTACAGTCAACAGTCTCCAAACCTGGTTCCTGGGGAGGTGAGAGCCACAGAAAGCATCTTAGCACCTGATAGGGCAGCAGAGCTCTGTATCTATGACACTCAGCCAAAGCAGTTCTGTTCTGGTGGTTTATATGTTGTAGCTCCAAAGTTGTTTGTTTAAATTTTTTTGATTACATAGTGTGTGTGGTGTGTGTGTGTGTGTGGTGTGGCGTGTGTGTGGTATGGTGTGGTGTGTGTGTGGTGTGTGTGTGTGTATATGGTGTGTGGTGTGGTGTGTGTGTGTGATCTGTGTGTGTGTGTGGTGTGTGTGTGTGGTATGTGTGTGTGTGTGTGTGTGTGTGATATATGGCGTGTGTGTGGTGTGTGTGTGTGGTGTGTGTGTGATATATGGCATGTGTGTGTGTGTGTGGTGGGTGTGGTGTGTGTGTGTGTGTGGTGTATGGTGTGTGCGTGGTATGTGGTGTGTGTGGTGTGTGATATATGGCGCGTGTGTGTGTGTGTGTGTGTGTGTGTGTGTGTGTGTGTGTGTGTGGTATGTGTGTGTGGTGTGTGTGTGGTGTGTGTGTGGTATGTGTGTGTGTATGTGGTATGTGTGGTGTGTATGTGGTGTGTGTATGTGTGTGTGTGTATGGTGTGTGTGTGATGTGTGTGGTATGTGTGTGTGTATGTGTGTGTGTATGTGTGTGTGTGGTGTGTGTGTGGTGTGTGTGTGATGTGTGTGGTATGTGTGTGTATGTGGTGTGTGTGTGTATGTGGTGTGTGTGGTGTATATGTGTGTGTGTGTGTGGTATGTATGTGTGTATGTGGTGTGTGTGGTGTGTGTGGTATGTGTGTGTGTTGTGTATGTGGTGTGTGTGATGTGTATGTGGTATGTGTGGTGTGTGTGGTGTGTGTGTGTGGTATGTGTGTGTATGTGGTGTGTGTGTGTATGTGGTATGTGTGGTGGTGTGGTGTGTATGTGGTGTGTGTATGGTGTGTGTGTGATGTGTGTGGTATGTGTGTGGTATGTGTGTGTGATGTGTGTGGTATGTGTGTGATGTGTGTGGTGTGTGTGTGTGGTGTGTGTGTGTATGTGGTGTGTGTGGTGTGTATGTGGTGTGTGTGGTGTGTGTGTGGTGTGTGTGTGTGTGTGTGTGGTGTGTGTGTGGTGTGTGTGGTGTGTGTATGGTGTGTGTGTGGTGTGTGTGTGATGTGTGTGGTGTGTGTGTGTGGTGTGGTGTGTGTGTGTGTGGTGTGTGTGGTGTGTATGTGGTGTGTGTGGTATGTGTGTGGTGTGTATGTGGTGTGTGTGGTGTGTATGTGGTGTGTGTGGTGTGTGTGTGGTGTGTGTGTGTGTGTGTGTGGTGTGTGTGTGTGTGTATGTGGTGTGTGTGTGTGTGTGTTAGTTCTTTCCTTCCATTGCATGGATCCTAGGGATCCAACTCATCAGGTCGTCAGCTTGGCATCCAGCACCCTTTCAGGCTGAGCCATCTCACTGGCCCTTGGTTGTTTTTTACATAGTTCTTCTAGGGAGAACTATGTAAAAAGTTAAGCCACTCACCTAGTCTGGTCTCTGTAATTTATAGAGGAAGAAACTGAGGGCAACTTTGACTAAACCACAGATTCCCCTGGATACCCAATGCTTTCCCTGCCTGGTGCCCCATCACCTGACACTGGTTTTGCCAGGGCCTGGGAAGGAAAGGGAGACCTTTGTGTCATCTGGTGATGGAAGGGCTGGGTACAGGAAACCCTGCTGTGGGTTCACAGTCCTGGTGAGGGTCACCATCTTCCCCACTTCCTGAGGTCTGGGTCAGATGAAGTGACAAGCGGACGTGGTAAGGGTAAAGCTGGAGGAGGGGCCTGAAGGCACATCCCAGAGGCACTGAGGGGGCATCTGTGTGGCGAAGAGGACCCCACACACATACCCTGATTTTGTCGTTCTCTGTTTTGTCCTCCAAATCTTCATCAAACTCCTTCTGAGGGTAGAACTCAATGCCATTTACTTCAAGCTCTTTGCGAACCTAGAGGGGCAAAGCAGTACAGCCTTGTGAGCCCCAGGCCCTGGGCAACAGAAAGATGCTGAGAAAAGGCACAGCCCAGCCTGAGAGGAAAGAGGAGGAGTCTGTGAGCACAGGCTCAGACCCCAGGGATTTCAGACAAATAGCACAGCTGAGTCCAGACACCGCAGGCCACGCTCGCAACCTTGACCTTCATTCTCTACTCCCCTTTGCAAGGAAGGGAGGTAAAGGCCACCTCCTGGGCTCTCTGTTAGCCCAATTTCAAGGCCAGCTTAAGTCTCTTCCTCCAGGACTTCTCAGGTTTTTTTGTTTTTTGTTTTTGTTTTTTGTTTGTTTGTTACTTTCTTTTTCTTTTCACCAATAAGCACTAGTGTGGGCCAGCTACTGGTTAGTGTAGCGATCTCAGCTGGAACTCCACAGGGCGGGTGTACCTTTGGTCCAGGAACTTCTAGCCTTTGCCTCCTGGATGGTTAAGTGCAGGGAGTTAGGGTGGGAAACCAGAGTGGAGAGGAAGGGGATGGCCATGCCAAGCAAGTGGGAAATGGCTCAGTCCCAGAGGAGGGGAAGGAAGCTCGGACAGGAAAAGGACAGCGCGGCTGCTTACCCTCTGCTTGAATTCGGACTTCTCCTCCAGGGTCATGGTGTCAGCCTTGGCAATGACAGGGATGATGTTCACCACTTTGCTGAGGTGTTTCATGAACTCAAGATCAAGCGGTCGTAAGCTGGGGCCCAGAGAAGGCAGGAATGTCAGAGCCACCAGCCCTTCCCACCTCAGCCACTGTCCTCTCCACACCGTCCTTGAGAGAGCACCGGACTGGGAATCCAGTGAGGCCATGCAGTTGTGGCCTCTCCCCTCATATGCCCACGGCTTCAGCACCTACCACAGATCCCGCAACCTGTCACGATCAGACGCCCTCTCCGTCCTCAGTCTCCACGTAAAACGTGTCTCTCCTCCAACTCCCCTCAAATCATTCCATGACACCTTTTCTGACCTAAGAATTTCTTTCTTTGGGGTACATACATGATGACCATTACCCCACATTCCATCCTGCAGAGCCAGGCTCTCGAGCCCCAGTCAGATTCTAAATTACAGTTGGGGGAATCCATTAAAGTCAGATTGTCTGATAGTTTCCACTAACTGTGGATCAAGGTCTAAGAAAAGCTAAAACTATTATTTTACCTGAGGCAGGAAAAATCTCAAATTCAAGGCTAGATTGGGCTACAGAGTAAGTTCAAAGCAATTTGGGACAATTAAGTGAGACCCTGTCTGAAAAAATAAAAAGCGGTCGGACGTTGGTGGCCCACACCTTTAATCCTAGCACTCAGGAGGCAGAGGCAGGCGGATCTCTGTGAGTTCGAGAGCAAGTTCCAGGACAACCTCTAGAACAATACAGAGAAACCCTGTCTAGAAAAATTAAACATAAATAAAAAGCAGACTTGGGCGTGGTGATACATGCCAGCACTCAGTAGGCAGAGGCAGGCAGATCTCTGAGTTAAAGGCCAGCCTGGTCTATAGAGTGAGTTCCAAAACAGGCAGAGGTACACAGAGAAACCCTGTCTCAAAAATAAATAAATAAATAAATGTTTTGTTTTGTTTTAAGTAAAAAGACGGCTGGAGTATAGTCCAATGGTAGAGTGCTTACCTAGCATGTGTGAGGCCCTGGGTTCAATTCCCAGCACTCATTCTAAAAAACAAAACAAAACCAACCAAAAAAAGCCCTCACTTTATTGAGGTCCCAGGTCTGACCCAGGGTTATTATTTCACGACCTTCATTAGTCAGCATTGACTGGGTACCCCTGGCTCCTTCAAAATTCAGGGTCTACCTTGCTGTGTCATCCTCTCAAAAACTTAAGTTCTGACCCTGAAGAGGGGCTTAGAGAGACACCCTGCCCTGCGGTAAGGGGCTACAAACACCACCGAGACCCTTGACCTCAGCCTGTTCCCTCATTGCTTCCGCTGGGGCCCATCCGCTACTTACAGATTAAGCTCCCAGCTCAGCCTTCATCTCTGATGTCTGGCCCTCCTGCAGGAATGGCCACTGCCCAGACGCCTACAGCTAAGTTCCACATCTTGCCTACATACCGGCCCCAATCTAACAGTCCTGATTCTCCCTACTTCACTTTCCTATCAACCCCAAAGCCCAAGCCTCGTCCAAAGCAAGTGTCTATTGGACAAATGAGGTGCCCCCTGTTCAGGTTCTCGGTGCTGCTACAGGTGGGCTGTGCTGGGACACCAGTAAACAGTACTGGGGAGGGGGCAGTGATAGTCAGCTTTGTTCTCTTTCTTACGGAAAGCCTGGGGAACCCAAGGCCACAGGGCCGACCTCCCTGGGGACCTGGTATGGATTCTCCAAGCCTGGGCACAAGTGACACAAACAGCAGGAGAGGGTGTGGCACATACGAGTGTCCCGTGGGGGAGATGAAGTAGAGACAGCAGTGGACGCGGGTGTCAGGGATGCGCTTCTTCCTGGCGATGTTGACCTCTTCCTTCAGGAACTTCTCATACTGCTCATTGATGTATTTCTCAATGGGCTCCCAGCTGAGGAGTGGGAGGGAACGGGTGGGGTACATCGAAAGGGCGGGGCTCAGGAGGTCCCAGTCTTCTCACACCCATCTCATATCCTGTCCTCCCTTCTCTCTCTCAACCTCCCCATGGATGCTTAGCATGGGTAGAATTCTCCCAGGGGACCCAGCCTCTTTTCCAGATAGTTCTCAGTGGGAATGAATCTGCATTATGCTTTTCCAGCAGAGTATTTAGGGACAGAATCTCAGAGGCAGACCCATACCAGTTTTCATTGTTGATCTGGTCCCCGAACCCTGGCGTGTCGATGACTGTCAGCTTCATTTTGACACCGCCTTCCTCTATCACTGGAGAGAACAGAAAGAACATCAAATAGATCAGTCCTCTAGTTGACCCCAGGAGCCCCGCAGCCTGCTGGCCAGGAACACCCACACTTCTCCCACTCAGCATTTTCATGCATGCTTCTCCCTATACCTAGAAGCCAGTCCCCTACTTCTTCCTGTGCCTACTTTGGTCTAAATCCTCCCCACCTCTTCCAGTTTTACATGTACACACGCTCCCCACTCCCACCTCACCATCTAAGCCTAGCAAACTAAGGAGTTTGCATCAGCAAACGTGGGCCTTAATTGCCTTTCACATCCTATTCCCCAGTAAGCCCCCTTTCTCAGAAAGACGCCCTCGGAGGATCCTGGCCTAGTCCTCACCATGCCCGATCGCTTTGATCTCTACAGTCTTAGGGATCTTCTCCTCCCGGTTCCAGCTGGAGGCCTTCCGGCTCACTTGGGACTTGAAGAGTGTGTTGACCAGCGTTGACTTGCCCAGTCCACTCTGGCCTGCAGCAAGGGAGGAGGAAACGAGAAAGGGAGACAGGCCGCACATCTACCTCCTGAGCCACAGAGCCCTCCTGTGAACTTACAGGGCTCCAGAGCTGTGATCCAAGCCAAGCCCTGTTTGAACGCCTGAGCAATATGTAGGAATGGCTGTCTGCTCAATGGGTTCCATATTTCTTCATGGACCCCAAGACGACTGGGAGAAGGCACAACCTGTGTGTTTGTGTGGCGCGTGTTTGAGATGTAGTTTTCGGTTTGGTTTGGCTTGTGTTTTTGTTCGACTTAGCTTTTCCATCTTTAATAACACTGAAAGTGAGAACAGAACTCCTTTGCATTCAGATCCTGCCTCACAGTGCCTGGGCGCTTCCACATCTGTTAGGAAAATTGCTCTTTTTACAGGGTTTCTCTGTGGCTTTGAAGTCAGTCCTGGAACTCACTCTGTAGACCAGGCTGGCCTCAAACTCACTGAGATCCATCTGCTTCTGCCTCCCGAGTGCTGGGACTAAAGGCGTGCGCCACCACTGCCTAGCTCAGCTACTTCTGGTTCTTAAGCTAAGACTTTGGTACCAGAAAGCTAAAACATCCACGTCACAGAGCACACTGTCAGCTCAGCTGGTGTACTTGTAGCAAAACAGCTGGATGATTTCTACCCTGGCCAAAACTCTTACTGCAGATCAGCTCTGAGTCCGGTAGCTACAGCTACCCAGGTGAGCTGGCCTAGGGTAGCAGCAGAAGCTGGCAGGTCTATGAGATCTTTACAAGATTAAAGGGACAGGGCTTGTTGATTAGATGGGAGAAGAGACAGGGAGAAGGATGCCTCACTCCATTTCCACACCCAGTAAACAACTCAGATTAGGCAAATGTTCCCTTCCTGCTATGTACTGTGACCCTGGAAAATTTTGAAGCTTTAAGGTGCGAACAATGAGCCCATATTTCACCCAGTCCTCTTACAGCTCTTGATGATGGGAAAGGGCCGACAATGCCCATTCCACAAACCTAAAAGCTGGCTCCCAGTGACGAAGACGCAGCCTATGTTCATCTAGCAGTGAAACCAGGCTGACCACCCACCCCAATCCCCCATCCTTGAATCAGCCGGTTAGGCGGAAGGGACCAGACTTTGTGATCAGCATGATGAAATCCTCCCTCGTAGAAACAGCTCACCCTAGAGAAGCCAGGCCATTCTGGGGAAAGAAATGGGATCCTTGGCGCTGCCCACCACTAGGCCTTCAATGACCCCATGGCTTTCCATACCAACGACCATGATGTTGAAGTCAAAACCAGTCTTCATGGTTTTCTTGCGCATCTGTTCGATGATGGTGTCAATGCCGATGTAGCCTAGCAGGTTGGAGTTGATGCTGACCGGCTTCATGGGCACCGCTGGCTTAGGCCTGGGCTCAGGTACCAGCTCTGACATAGCTGCGTCCGTCCTGGCCTCTGGGAGTCCTGAAAAGCCAAGGTGGGAGGAATAGGCAAGGTGAGCGGCAGGAGAACAAGGGTTTCTTTCATGAAAGGCACAATAGCATTTCTATATGGAATCACAGAGTTGGGACTGAAAGAGACCATAATTTTATCCAGTCTGGGTCCCATACTGTATAGATGAAGAAAACACTGACACCCTGGGTAGGGCTTGCCCAAGGATATCTTTTAGGTCAGTTGCAAAATTTATACCAGTACCAGGTTCTCCAGTTTTTTTATTATGTAAAGATTTATTTATTTTCATCTCATGTATATAAGTGTTTGCCTGAATGTAAGAATGTACACCATGTGTATTCTATGCCCACAGAGGCCAGAAGACGACACTGGACCATCCTGGAATTGGGTTTACAAACTGTTAAAGCAGCCATGAAGGTACTGGGAATCAAACACAGGTCCCCTACAAAAGCAATAAGAGTTCTTAACCACTGAACCATCTCTCTAGCCCCAACCAGGTTCTCCAGTTGCTGGACATGTTCAAGCACATCACTGCTCCAAAGTACTGCATCTGTGTATGCCAAGGGCTCCTTCACCTTAGCTCTACTGATACCTGGATAGTTATTATAACAGGCTGTCCTGTGTCTACAAGACAGTTAACAGTATCCATAGTCTCTGCTAGTTTCCAGAGGGATCCTCTCAGATGTGACTACAAAAAGTATCTCTACAGAGTAACAAATGGTGGGGGGGGCTCCACCCCAGAAGAGTGCTGGTCTAAGGAAATGTCTCAGTTGTTCAGACCTGCATCTTGCCTTGCCAAGTAAGGAACAAAGAACCTTTAGGGTCCAGGTCTACTACCTATCAACTGTCAATGGCCTCAGTCACTTGGTCTTTTAGAAGCAATCAGAGCTACTTTTCTTTGCAGAGGAAGCATTACTCCGCCTTCAGCCCCAGTCTCCCCTCTGTGCCACAAGTCTCAAAACTAGTTCCCAGAGCCAGGCGGTGGTAGTGCACACCTTTAGTCCTAGCATTTGGGAGGCAGAGGCGGGCAGATCTCTGTGAGTTCAAGACCAGCCTGGTCTACAAGCGCTAGTTCCACAACATGCTCCAATGCTACGCAGGGAAACCCTGTCTCGGAGAGAAAAAAAGAGTAAAACTAGTGCACAGCAGAGGGTCTCCCATCACTCCCATGCAAAGCTTTGAGCCTAGGAAGTCAGTAAGAAAGGAAGGAGACCCAAACAAGGACTGCTCCTTGCCTAAGATGACACTCTCATACTAATAAGCAGAGGAAGGGAGGCCAAAGATCCCCTTGGCAGACCAAGGTCATGGTCACATGGAGAGATGTGGCAAGTCACTGTGCAGCAGGGTAAGTTCTAGAAGAGATGAACTCCTCTTCCCTCTCGGGAAAACAGGTGTGGGGGTGAAGTGAAAAAGATCTTGGCTCTGCTACTTGTCAGCTTGTAGACTTGTGCAGGCCGCTTCCCTTCTGTGCGCCTGCTTCTTCCTCTGTGCAATAGTTGGGTCATGACTAAGGCTGTGGTGAGCATCACATGAGACATGGTGCTTATAAGCCCAGAGTCCAGCCTCACAGACCCATGCCCTCTCGCCTTTGCCTTTTTCTTCTTCTTCTTCTTTTCCTGAGATGGGTTTCATTATGTAGCCCCAGCTGTCCTGGAACTCTGTAGACCAGGCTGGCCTCGAACTCACAGAGATCCGCCTGCCTCTGCCTCCCGAGTGCTGGGATTAAAGGTGTGCGCCGCCACCACCACCACCACCACCACCACCACCACCACCACCACCACCACCACCACCACCACCACCCCGCTACCCTTGCCCTTTTCAAGTTCAGCTTTCTAGAGGGGATTGAAACTGCACAAGAGAGTATTTATGAAGTGGGGGTGTCCTGGCTGCTAACTTCACAGGCACATTCCTCGCCGCCCTGCCCTGGAGAAGCTGTGCCATTTTAAACGGCTACAGTTCATGATCACCAGCCTGCGTCTCAGCCTTTGAGGGGGGCTGATGGAGAAGCAGATGGGCAGGAGGAAGTGGGAACATGTCTCCCTCCCCACTCCCAAGCCCGGCCAGGAATCTGCCCGTGTACCCCCACCACCTGGTCCTTCCCCTGGTATTGGCAAGATGTTCTTTCCTGGTGAGAAACTTCTTTCCCGTGTCCCCCTCAGGCACAGCTAAACCTGACAAATCCTCAACACCTCCCCAGAGCCTGGCTCTGCTCCCTCTTGCTTCCCAGGAAGCTGCTGCCAGCCAGGTGGCTCCAGAGGGCGGCAGGATCGGCTTGGCCCTGTGACAGCCGACTCAGAACAGCCTGGGCCAGCTCTTCCACTGGACACGCGGCTCGTGTCCCCCTTTGGCACATCTGCCCTGGGAGCCAGAGCCCCGCTTCTCCTTCCTGCTGTTCCCACAGCCTGGCCCTTTCGGTTTCCTCCATGCCTGCTAGGCACATTTGGTACCCGCAGCCTGTGTTGTGACAGAAGCCACCTGGGAGGCAGGCGACGGTGCTTGTATATGCCAGGGTGAGGGTTGTAAATGCTTATGGTAAGCATGGTAAGCATGCGTCCTTACCATGGCCTTCTCAGCTCTGTTTGTCAGACCCTGACTGAAAGACAGAGCTGACCAGATGCCAAACAAGCCCTAGACATTACGGCTGGCTGATGTAAGTCGGGGGCATAAGTGGCTCTCACGTTCATTCTTCCATGATGAGCAACATACAGGGCACCTACTAGCAAGTCAGCCTCCTCCCCACCACATGCCAACTACATGCCAGTCACAGGCTAACAGCCGCCACTGATCAAGTGCCACAAGTACCATAGACGTGATGTTGGTACCCCCTAAAGCCCTCAGTCTCGGAGCTCCCCTTACTGAAAGCCTTCCCATCCAATATGGGTGCCCCTCTTGGTATGCTGCCTCAGCCCCCGGTAGGCGCTACATACGTAGCATATCCATCCCTTATAGGTCATTCTATATACTGTCGAATGAAAGCCTAACCAAACCAAGTGCTACACTAAATGACAAGGATATATTTGTATCCAAGACAAGGTCATTGCCGGGCAGTGGTGGCGCATGCCTTTAATCCCAGCACTCGGGAGGCAGAGGCAGGCGGATCTCTGGAGTTCGAGACCAGCCTGGTCTACAAGAGCTAGTTCCAGGACAACCTCCAAAGCCACAGAGAAACCCTGTCTCAAGCCCCCCCCCAAAAATCAAGACAAGTCGTTGATGCCCCACTTCCCTGAGGATCCACTATTTGGAAGGGTGTCTAACAAGTAAACCAGGACCTCCAGGGTAGAGAGCAAATGCTACTCTGGAGTTGGCCTCTGTGGCTCCATCCTCTGCTCCCCAGGTCCCACCAGGCCATCCTTGAATGAGCAGCTGATGCAGGTATGAATCCTGGCTAGGTGACTCCTGTAAGTCTAGGTTTTCTACTCAGAAGAGAAGGGAGTGTACCTGCCTTCCTGGGTTACTGTGAAAGTCATACGAAATCATGAGTGTAAATGACCTGTCACTGAATGTGTGCTGGTTTCCAGCCCTCTTCGAATTAGGGGCTATGCCTTATTGTTCTCTGTGCCCAGTGCACCCTAGCATGTCACAGAAGCTCCACAATGAATGGATGGATGGCAGATGAATCAAAGTCCCACAAAGCAGGAATCCCTGCAGAACCTTTCTCCTTCCTCAGATGTTGCTTCCTGTCCAAAGCACCTGGACCCCACCCCCACACCAACAAACAGCTGTCGTGTGAGCTATGATCAAAGTAGGTACACCTACTGAGACCTCCTCCATCCCCTGCGTCTGAGATTGGAGAGGGCTTTCCAAGACTAGGGAAAGAGTTCATATCAATGCTCATAGCAGAATGCAGCTAGATGGCCCTTTGGGGTTCCTCCTAAGCTCTCAGCCCTCCCAGAGAGGGGTGCATCTGTCTGCAGCACCCCTGCCAGGTGCCACCTGCCCCCTCAGTGCTCCAGGAAGAGAAACAGCCCACCTGACTCAGCTCTAACCCCACAGGACAGCACACTCCATCCCTAAAGCAAGCAAGGATGAAATGCTTTCTCCTACAGGAAAATGAATGGCTTTGGCTTTGTCTGGCCCACAGACCCCACCCCTCTGTTGGAAAGGTGTCGATAGGAGAAGGGGGCTTCCTAAAATAATGTCTGCCTCCTTAGTTTAATGCTAGGCTATCTCTTCTCTCCCAAGCTGAGGGTTCTTCTCCAGTCCCTTGGTAACCACCAGCTTTTAATACCCCACCCCCACCGCAGAGTCAATTCCAGTCCATCCCAGCTCCAGACCAGGGCAGGGGAAAAAAAAAAGGGAAACAAGTCCTTCCCCATTAAAAGAAGCAAAGGGCCCCAGGACACTCCCCTTCCCCCATTCTAGTCAGGAAGCCAATGAGTTCCCTTGGAGACCACCAGCTGGTGCCTGTCTATGAGCTTGGTCTCTATGTGGGGGAAGGGGACTGGCTGATGTGTCAGCTCACAGGTCTCTTAACTGGTTGTAGGTGGTCTGGTACCCCTGTTTGAAGTGCATGCTGTGCGTGTCCTGGTGTGCTCCCGCGGGGGCTTTCCCTAAGCACCTGGGTCTCCATACCTCCCCAAGCTCCGGTGTGTGCCTTTCCCAGAGACTGTGCTTCCAAGTGTGTGCCTCCTGGTGTGCGTGTGTCCACGCGTATGTCACTGCACGTGGGGCCCTCAGCACAGCAAACCCTCCCTTCCGTAGCGCTTGGGGCCGTAGCTTCCTCCCGGCCAGTGCTAGGCACCCAAGCGACAGCCCTACCTTTGGACATGAATCCTCCTTTGTCTCCAGTCCTCCGGGAGATGCTCAGGGCGCGGGGCTGCAAGGTTGAGCCGGGCGCGGGCTCCCTCTGGGCCAAGCGGCCCTTGCAGCCGGGCCTCGCCCCTCGGCGCCGTCCACCTACCCGCCCGACCCGCTACCCGGCCGCGCCACCCCTGCGCCCCGCGCCCGCCCGGGACCTCGCCTCCGCTCGCTCGGCGCCGAGCCGCCCCTGCCCGCGCGCACCGATGCTGCCGCTGCCACCGGCACCACGTGACTCGAGCGCTTGTCGGCCCCGCCGAGGGCCCCTCCCCTTCCAGCGGCTCCCGCGCCAGCACTCAGGACCAAGTACCCGAGCTCGGGTTGACCGGCAGGAGAAGGTGCCTGCATCGCAATCCCTGTCTCTCTCCCTAGAACCTGTCCCCAGCCCCTTACCGGGTCCGGGGTGCAGGAGATCGGTGGCAGCTGCCGGTGACCGTGCGCGTGCGTGAGTCACGCGGTGATTGAGATATTGCGCTGGCTCACCGCGGTTCTGCCCAGGCGCGGTTGCTGACAGAGCTCCGAATCAGAGAACTGGGTTCCAGGCCCAGCTCCCAGCCTGGACGCTAAACCCTATATATAACCTTGAACTACTCAGGAACTTCCCTGAGCCTCCTTGACCCACCTTTTGTCTTTGATACGTTGACGATGGTTTTGTTGATCGACCCTGGCAGCACAGGGCTGAGGATGACCAAACCTTCTCGACCTTAAAGGTTTGGGGTCTAACAGAAATGAGAAGGCTGGTTCACACAGGTGCTGTGGAGTGCAAGCGAACGCGCGCCATGGAGAAAACAGAAGCTTTGGAGCAGATGAGGGCCAACATGGATAGGCAAATGGTGATGAGAAAAAAAGAATAAAATAACCTTCTCCAGAGAAGGGCAACGGGGCCAGCGAAGCCCAGAGGCAGCAGAGCGGTGTGCTGGTGATGACTCAGAACGCTGACCTGGGCTGAGGCAGGAAAGATAACGACAAGGGCTGCCCCAGCTAAGAGTATGGAGAGGTAGGCTGAGCAGTGGGCTTTAGGGGTGGTAAAAGAGAGACTTTAAAATTCTGCCACTAAATAGATAAGTCCCTGTGGCAGCTTGTGGAGGACAGAAGAAGCAGAAGGATACAAAGTGGTGACAGCTGCGGGGTGTAGTGGCCCGCATCCTTAATCCCAGCACACGGGAGGCAGAGGCAGGTGATCTCTCTACGTTTGAGGTCAGCCTGGTCTACAGAGTTAGTTCCAGGACAGCCAGAGCTACATGGATACATTGTCTCAAAAAAAGTGGTGGTGTCAGACACCTGGTCCAGTACAGAGGAGGTACATGAATCGGACTGAGGATGGACAGAATGGAATAGAGAAGAAAACAAGGAAGGCAGGTTACCTGGGGATCCAATCACTGGATCAAAGGTGGGTGGTGCCGGCAGCTGAGAGAGGAAGATGGGGAGGGCAGCCGCTGTTTCTAGCTCAGTGGTTCTCAACCTTCCTAATGCTGCAACCCTTTAATACAGTTCCTCATGACATGCATTAAATAAACCACAAAATTATTTCTTTGCTACTTCCTAACTGTAATTTTACTACTGTTATGAATCATAAGGTAAATATCTGACATGTGTCCCCTGTGGGGGTCAAGAAGAAAGGGGCTCCCTGCGTCTAGACGTGTCCTGGAGATCTCCCGGTGGAGGAGAGTTCAGCAGGTGTAGCTGTCTGTGTTTCAGAAGAGAGCTGAGCTAAAGATGGGGATATGGGGTCCCACAGCAGAGTGAGGACGAGACTGTGTACCCAAGTGGGATGAGAAAGCCTTGACAAGCCCAGGACCCAGCAAGGACTGGACTTCCACCTGACCCAGAACCCGAACTTGGGAAATGTGGTGAATAAGATTGCTCAAAGTTGGCCCGGTCTGGTTTTCCAATCAATGTACTGCCACCACTTAACTCTGGCGTGACTTTGGGTATGCCACAAACCTCCATAGGCTCCCTAGCCCTTATGTTGACCTGTTTATAGATCTGTACATGATTTACACACACACACACACACACACACACACACACACTTCAACTTTAAAGAACTGCAGCCAAGAAAGACTTCCAGGTAAGGCTGGCCTTGAACTTCTTTATCCTCCTACCTATACCTCCCAATTATTGACATATCTTTTAAATAGCAGATCTCCTACAATGCTGTTTGTGATTTGATTTAGGTAGGCCTTCCTGAGGTCCTTATATCCCATCCACAGAAGCACTGGACTGTCAGACTACTGGTAGATTAAGTCATAGCTGACTGAAGAGCTTGTCTGTGTTTTTGTGCATTAGACTTTTTGTTTGGTTTTGGCTTTGGCTTTTCTGTGTAGCCCTGACAATCCTGGAACTTGCTCTGTAGACCAGGCTGGCCTCAAACTCAGACTTTCCTTAAAACTGGGCTCACCTAATTGCCATGACTTTTCAGAGAACTAAGAAACAAGCCAAAGTCATGGTCGAGAGAGAACTCAGTCTAACTGCTTCTCCACAGCTTAACCTGTAAACCTTTCTCCTGGAGGCTTCCCTCAGCCAGACTTTTAGTAGCTTGGCTCGGGGCCATACTCCTTCTTTCAGTCCCTCAACCCTGGTCCCCTTCTCTGCCACCCATTCGATTCTTACCCTAGAGTCCCCACTGTCCTTCCCAACCTATCGAAACTGTCGCATCCCTGCTCCCCAGCAACAGTACCTCCCCAACCAAGTTCTTGCGCTTACCTGTGGGTTCTCTGGCCAGGTCCAGTGAGGCAGCATCCACAGTGGCATGGTCCTGGCCTGTGTCTGTGCTGCTTCTGCTTGGCATCACAGAATAGGTTGCAGCATCTTTGATGGTCAGATGATTGACAATGTCTAGCTCCATCTCACCAGTGGCTGGGTCTGGGCAGACCAGCACAATTGGGTCCATGGCTGTACCCAGTCTGCTTGTGTCCAACACAGAAGAATCTATAATTGTGTCCAGCTTGGCAATATTGGCTCCAGCCAAAGCTGTGGCTGTGTCCAACCTGGCTATGCTCAGATTGACCTGATCTGGTATTTCCAAAGCCATGACTGAGCCATCCCTGCTCATAACCATGACATTTTCCAGCTTGTCTGAAGCTGCAGTTACCAAATTCAGAACCTGGCCTGGCTTGTCTGTCCCTGCTCTAGCTAAATCCACGTCTGTACCTAGTTCGGGTGGGCGTGCTATCACCGAATCTGTGGCTTTTCCTGCCTTGGATGCTATTGGTAAGTCAATGGCCATGCCCATCTTGGCACCTAGAATCGGAAGCTCAGTGCCTCTGACCATTCTGGATGGGTTTGGTGTGGACATACTGATAGCCAGCTCAGGTCTATTGATGGCCATTGTGCCTAAATTTCTGGCTATATCTAGTTTTGTGCCCACAGCAGACAAATTTGTAGGAGTGGTAGCCCTTTGGAGGTATGCTCGAGACCTGGGAATACCCCTGGGCTTGGACTTGCCTCTTACTGGAGAGGTTCTGGTATGGACTTGACCCACAGGGCCTGAACTCTGATCGAACTGAGATTGGAACGGTAAAGACAGATATGAAGACATCAGAGGCTTATCTCCTGAGGGTGTCCTATTGGATTTGGTAAGATCTGGGTTCCTGTGGCCATCAGAGGAGGTCCTGACCTCTGGCACTTGGGCCATGGGTGGTGATCTTGAAGTGGACAGCCTCCCTTCTCCATGGGTGACAGCCTCCTTGCCCAAATTGGACAACTCTTCCCAACGAGAAAATGAGGCATCTAGGTGCCGTGCTTGGACATTCTGACGAATCGTGAAGGAAATAGAGCTGAGTTTCCTGGGCATAAAGCTATTGGGGGGCAGGGAGCTCAGGGGCCCTAAGGTGCCCTGTTGGGACACACTCCAGGCCCTGGATCTAAGGCTTGGTTGGCTGGAAGTCTGTAGGACATTGCTTTGGGGAAAGGTATCCAAATGGACAGCCTTCTTGATGACAGGGATGAGGGGGGACACATCTCCAGTGAGCTTTTGGTGGCTATGGCGCCCCAGCAAGTGGCTGCGAGAGAAAGTTGTCCTGGGGCCCCGAGCCCTGTGCGGCTGCATCTCTGGCGGAGGGGGTGCAAAGTGGTGGTCCATCCGAGCTATCCGGCTTCCCCTAAGGCAATCACAAGAGAGGAGGGTAGACAAGATGAGGTCCCAACTCTCCTCCTCCTAACCAGCAGATGGCACTGTCAGCCTGAAGGAACCTTAGTTGGGGCTTGTTGAGCCCTTAGTAGTGTGTGTTTCCCGACAGCCCAACAGCTTCCACCTGCTACAGATTAACACACACCTCACACACCTGCCCATTCAGCAGCCACAATACAGGCACTGCCAATGAGCAATTTGCCCTGCCTCTTGAATCAGAGAATTCTGCACCAAACCAGGAAAGAACCCCTGAGCTAGGCCAGTGGTGGGGAGAGACATTTGGGGGAAACCTAGACTAAGTTTTGGTGTCAGCTGTGTCTGGCATTGGCAGCTCCTAAGGACAGCCCAAATGTGAGAAAATGAAGCCTTATTCTGAAAATTCAGCACAGGGCTCCCAAGCTGTGCCTGGCGGGCGGAGGTAAACAGGGGCCAGGCCAGGCTGCAAAATTGTTTGGTGCTGCAAGTTAACCTGGTCCCATGAGCTGACAGAAACAACAAGCAGAGGCAGGTTGGAAGGGGGATTGAGAGTAGGCAGTCTGTGAGGCACGACTGAAGGACTCTGTGGGTTATGAGCTGGGCCAGGGATGGGGTTGGAGAAGGCTGCCTTCAGGCTGGGAGTTGAGAGAAAAGAGTGTATCCAGGTTAATACTCAATGCTGCCAGGTAGTCTGGGTAAATGACCCATACTTCCTGAGGTGGTCTTCAGGGTCCCCCAAGGTGGCTGGTTCGCGGCCTCTCTGAGCTGCATATGACTCAGCCTCTGGGACAAAGTTACTTCTGTTACTTTCAACACCATAGGCTAGACAGGCTGCTTGGGAAACCAGGCCAGTGCTGGTGGGAAGAATTATCTGAGTATAAGGGGCTGGCAGAGGAGAGTGATGTTATAACCATCTCTTTGAAGTTTGGAACAGGAGACAGGAAAAGCAGGAAGCCCGGGCATCGCCATTGTGCCTTAAGTGACATCCTACGCCCTCATCTCCAGCCATGCATTTGTATCAAGACTGCCCAGCCTTTGCCCCTGCTCCATTTGGCACACCCTGGAGGCTCTGACCTCTTGCCCAATGTTCACACCGCATGCACCTGGGCACACCATGTTCACACGGCACTTCGCCACAAGCCCAAGGGCAGGAACGTCTGACGTCACTTTGTCTTGTGTCACCAGACCCCAACCTCCTCACTGAGCCCCATGAGCCGGGAACGCCTTGGTCCTGTCCTTCCCAGTGTACAGATGCACACACGCTCACACACACACACACACACACACACACACACACACACACACACACCTACCTTGATCAGAAGACAGAAAAGAGGCGGGTAATTTCCAGTCAGGGAAGCTGGACCAATTGCAGACCCTGCCCCCTCCTCTGTACCCAGAGGCCAGCCATGTGGCCTGCCTCAGAGACCTCTTTTCTCTGGGTCCTCTCTCTCAGCTTCCCGGTGACAGTCCATAAGATGAGGGGTCCAGCTCCCTCCTGACTTCTCCCTCTGGCTACATCCCCAGCAGCTGGGCTGGGCTCTGGGCAGGGAAGATCTGACTGGAGAGTGGGTGGCAATGAATGGCAGCTTGAGCCTCTGGAATCCTACTGAGCTATGGGAGTCAGCCAGCTGAGCTGCCCTGAACACAGGGCCACCTAGGGAGGGGACGTCCTGGTGTTCCACCTAGGGAGGGGACGTCCTGGTGTTCCATCGGCCCATGTGCTCTTTTCTCCAAAACTGGCCCCTTGAGGGGTATCACCAGTAAGAGAGAACAGTGTTACTCCAACAGCGATGTCACTCTGTTTGCCCCATAACAACTTCCCTCTACAACCCCTATGAGTTTGGTGACCCTGGGGCCATCTGTGGTCATGCTCCTGAGACCTCGCCTCAGGTTGGAATTTTTGAGTATGAACCTGTACCCTTCAAAACAATTCTCTAAGATCCAGTTTGCTTCAGACAGACCCTGGGCTAAGACTCAGGGTATGAAAGCAGCCGGCCCCAGGCCTGACCTCAAAGAAAGCCACACATCCACCCAAGCGGACTCTGGGAAGGCAGGATCTCAGCAGCCTCTGAGCTGGGATAGTGTCCCCCACACTGGGCTGCCTGTGACACACAAATGTGTCAAATGGACGGGTGATGGAAGAGCCACCACCGGCCGGGTACTTACTATGTGCCGGGCACTGAGTCAGGCTTGGGGAGCTCCGAGTCTGTCCAGGAAGAGACGTGTAAGCGGATCCTCACAGCGTCAACCACAGGGCCCCTGACATGGACATCCCCCAGACACTCACTCTGGACCAGGAGCTAAGCTAAACGTCCTCCTGGCATGTCCTAATCATCACCTTGTGGCTTGCTTCTGGCCAATGAGGGACAACGATGCTCTACCCCACAACACTGTGGGGTCTGGCCTACTTTCCTATGTGTTGCTCTCCTTGGTGAGTGAGCTTCTGGCCTGGCCAATAGAACTTTCTGTGATAATGGAAATGTTCTATATCTCCACTGCCCAATAAAGTAGCCACTAGCCTCAGGTGGCTCCTGGGCCCTCACCATTATTCTATAATGACCAAGGACCTGAATATTTTATTTATTTCATTTGAATGTATGTCTACTGTATTGGACAGCACAGTTTTGAAAGGCCTGGCTCTTTCTCTTCTCTGGGCCCAAGGGCCTGACAAGGATCACCAGGACATCTTCTGTTCAGCGACTAAATGGTGACTATGTGGGCCTGGGATCCTCCCCTCTTATCCGTTCTCTCCCCTTCAAGCTTTAGGTTTCTAAAGCTGGCTATGCTCTGGTTACCAGGGCAACCAGCAAGAAATCACAGGGGAGGGGGAGGGGTGCTGTCTGAGTTCTCCCCCCTCCCCACATGTTTTGAGACCCTGGGGAAAGGAGGATGTGACTGGGGGAGGACACAAAATCTGCCTGGGCAGCCTGGGGAGCAAACTGTAGGGCTCACCCCTGCTCCATCACATTACCTCCTGGTGCTCAAGCAGCCAGGGCTGAAGTCAGGGGCCCTGGGTTCTACCCGCCTGACCACTCACTATGAGAGTCCTGTCTGACAGGCTGGGCGGTGGTGGCGCCCACCGTTAATGCCAGCAGAGGCAGAGGCAGGCAGATCTCTGAGTTCAAGGCCAGCCTGGTCTACATCGAGAGTTCTGGAACAGTCAGGGCTGCACAGAGGAACCCTGTCTTGGAAGGAAAGGAAAGAGGAAAGGACAGGAAAGGGAAAAGGAAAGGAAAGGAAAGGGAAAAGGAAAGGAAAGGGAAAAGGGAAAAGGAAAGGAAGACTCCTAGGTGTCTGCTGTCTTTCCAGTTAGAGACTAGATGCCCTCTTGTGATTTCTTCCAGCCTGGAGATCTAGGATCCACCCCCTCCCTCCTGGCAGAGCAGGACCTGAGTCTCATCGCCTCTGGTTTCCACCGCTGGGCTGCCTTGCTCCTTTCGCTCCAGGACTGACAGGCTCCGACCAAGCTGTTTATAATTTTTCCACCTGCAGCCCCTGTACCCAACCTCATGTATACGGGGATATACTGTAAGTGTATAAACCAGCACTTGCAGATAACCACTCAGAGAAATCCGTTTTGCCTGGGATACAGTGCAGTGACATAGCACTCGGCTTGGGTGCCTTAAGGCCCTGAGTTCAATCCCCAGAACCACAAAAGAGAAATGGTAACATTAATCTGAAAAAGAAAGTTATTTTAAAACAATTATTTGGTACACATAAAATTTCACCATTTGTTAAAGACAAAATGTAAGTTTGTATGTTAATGAGATAGATATGCTTATTTTTACTTACAGAACTAAATCTATTTACCTAATACCATAAGATGTAAAGTATCTTCAGTGTTTTTTAGAATTGATGACAATTTTCGTTTTGTTTTGTTTTGAGGCAGGGTTTCTCCATGTAGACCGGGCTGGCCTGGAACTCATAGAGATCCTCCTGCCTCTGCCTCCCCAGTGCTGGGATTAAAGGAGCATACCACCACACCCAAGAGGATATTTTGATTTTATAACTGACAATGTTGAGAATGCCACTTTCAAAAGTATAATAATGGCAGGAATGTGTTCAGAAATTGTTAGAAATTTTTCCCTACTCACAAGTCAAATTTCCCTTCATGACTAAAAAAACTCTAGACAGCAACAGAAACATCAGAGTTTTTGTTTTAGGCAGGGTCTTGCATATACCAAATTGGCCTTAACCCTCCAAGAACAACCTTGAACTTCTCTCCTTGGCCTCCACTATTGGAGGATGAGATGAGGATGAGCAGTGAGTCCCACACCTGGTCTATGCGCTGCTACAGACTGAACTGGTGTCATACTTAGATGGCAAACAGTGATGGTCAGAAAATACTGACTTCACTCTCCACCATTAGGCCCTTCGGTTTCTCTGTGAGGTCTTAGGCGCATATTGGTGGTATATGGAGTGCTGGCATATGTGGAGGTCAAAGTGCACACTGAATGTTCAATAACAAGGAGACAGAGTACCCCAGCCAGCACACAGGAGTTGACAGAAACATCACAGATACATTTCCAGTTTGGTTTTGCATCAATTTTTGGTTGTTGTGCATTCAGAAACCTTTTACTGCTGCCCAGTTTTCACCACCCCCACATTCGGTCACTGGTGACCACCCACAGTTTTTAAAATCTAGGACTTAAAGTTTACTGCCTGTCCAACAATTACAAACTTGGGTGTAGCTGCCCTCTAGTGGTCAAAAGTGACAACGCCCTCCTTTACTTTCCCATCAAAGACATTGCATGACCCCAAGGACAGAGACCTCCACTCCACTCATTATAGTGGTCTCTGTGACAAGAGGCGTGTGCTGTGGGACCTCTCAAACATGTGATTCTGCAGCCATATGATGTTGAACTTTGTCTCTCTGAGCTCCATTTTGTTCTGTAGTAGGGGCTGGATTAGACAGTGTAAGCAACAAACCATTCCAAAATCCCCGGGGCTTGTTAACACCGAAGTCTGGTTTCTCACTCATGCCTC